GGTCAGGAGAGGTCTGCCACGCCATGTGGGTCTCCTCTGGGGCAGGTGGGAATCGAACTCATGCAGAAGTGGCTTAAGCTTCCCAGTGCTGTGCTTTAACCCGCTGCGCCACCAGGGATGGCCCCCTATAATGGAATTTTACAAGATTTGTCCTTTTGTATTTGCTTCTCTCACTTTGGATAAAGCTTTATTGTTTCCTCTATTTGTAGGGTGTGTGAGAACTTCATTCCTTTTATTGCTAAACACTTTGATGTGTATAGCATGTTTTGTTAATCCAGTCATCAGTTGATGGCCTTTTGAATTGTTTCTGGTGTGTGTGTGTGGGGTGGGGGTTGGTAATATGAATAATGCAGCTATTAGCATCCATTTATAATTTTCTATGTGGATTTGGATCTTCCTGGGTTGCAGTCTTCCTGTGTATCTCCCCAGGAGTGCAATTACTAAGTAATATGCCAAGTCTGTGCTTAATCTTTTGAGAACTTTCAGTTTCCAAAGTAAATTCTACCATTTTATGTTCCTATCAGTCACATGATACTTCCAGTTTCTCCAAGTCTTTGCCAATAGTTGTTAGCGTCCTTTCTTTCCAGTCCAGCCATCCTGGTGATGTGATGTGGCATCTCATGGTTTTGATTTGCATTTCCCTAATGATGAATGACATGGATCCCTTTTGCATGTGCTCATTAGTCATTTGTATGTCTTTGAAGAAATATCTATTCAAATAGTTGGTTTACTATTTTTTTAAGATCTTATTTTTACATAGAAGAAGTGGGGTGCAGGCCAAAGATGCAGGGATGAAAGGCTTCACCAGAGACAGAGTGGGGAGCAGAACAGGCAGGTCAACTAAAATACACTGCTGGGGGAAGCAGTGGGCAGGTCAGAAGAGGTCTGCTGCGCCATGTGGGTCAACTCCCTGGCCGGGGATTGAACTCATGCTGCAGTGGCTGCAGATAGCTTCATAGTGCTAAGACTTCAACTTCTTGCACCATCAGGGAGTGGGTGTCTTTTACTATTGAGTTGCAATAGTTTTTAATTAGGTTGTCTTTTATTATTGCATTGTAAGTGTTCTTTATGTATTCTAGATATATGTCTTTTATCAGATACATAATTTGCAAGTATTTTCGCAAATTGTCATATATGATGTATTACAGCATAAAAGTTTTCAATGTTTCAATGTTGATATAGTGTAATTTATTGATTTTTTTTTTTTTTTGGTCACTTATGCTTTCGATGATGAATATCTCTACTGTTCTTTAAAAGAGGATCGCTAAGCCTTGGGTTTAAGATCCAGTAACAGATGGCACTCCGTGGTGGCACAACAGGTTAAAGTGCAGCTCTGTGGCGCTCTCCACAGCAACTGTAGCATGAGTTCAATCCCCCACTAGGGAGTTGGCCCACATGGCATGGCAGACTTATCCTGACCCATCCACAGTCCCCTCAGCAGTGTACTTCAGTGGATCTGCCTGTTCTGCTCCCTGTTCTGTCTCTGGTGAATCCCCTCACCACCACCCCCGCCACACACACACCTCAAGCTTGTACCCCAGTTCTTGTGTGCATAAATTAATAAATCTAAAAAAAAATAAAGAGCTTAAAGATTTAGTAGCAGAGAGAATAATGGTATTGCCATTACTCAAGCTACAGAATACAGAAGGCAAAGGGTGGGAGTTTCAGGGATGCAAAAAACTTAGGCATCAGATGCAATGAGTTTTTCTGTGGATATACTTAATTTAAGGTACAGAAAGGATAGGACATACCAGGCAGATAACTGAAATATGTGTGTGGAGCAACAGAAATGAAAAATACAGGAGAATTGAGAGGCCTCCTCTCAGTAGTGACATATGAAGCTGCAGAAAGAGATTGGCCACCAGGGGGGACCTAAACCAGCGCCTGGAATTTCACCTACAAGTTTTAGGGCAGTGTGTGGGGAAGGTTTGGAGGCACAAACAGAAGAATACTATGTCATGGGGCCAAAGGAGTGTGCCTCAAGGAGCAGGCTGTGACTGGCAGCATCACTGGGGACCTGATTGGGGAGCATAAAGGAGGCAGAGGGAAGAGGAAGACTTGGTAGTGAGAAGTTCTGATGGCCTCTGGCAGGACCGTGGGGTAGTATATCTGGTGTGAGCCTGCTGGTATCAGAAGAAACAGGAAAGTGGCATCATGAAATGTGAAGTAGGGCCCCCCTGCTGGCTCAGGGGTTAAAGACAGAGCTATCAAGCATTTGACAGCCAGTGCAGCACAAGTTCGATCCCTGTCCAGGGAGGTGACCCACATGGTGCAGTCCTGTCTCTCCTCTCTCACCTGCTGCTCCCCTCAGCAGTGTATTCAATAGATCTGCCTGATCCTCTCAACCCCTGTACCTCTTACACCCTAGTTCTTCTATATATAAATAAATAAATCTTTAAAGAAATATAAAGTAGATTTGATGAAGGGGGAAGTAGCATAGCTTAACATAAATGCAGAGTGAGAGGTGTATATATATATATATGTATATATGTATATATGTATATATATATATATATATATATATGTATACGTACACATTTTTTTGAGATTTATTTATTTATGTGTAGAAGAACTCAGACCACAGCAATGAGAGCACTGAGTCCTAATCCCACATCCATGGGGTTTTATTTTGAAGATACGTGTTGGATGTTTCTTCAGCTAAGGGGAAGGATAGTGAGCTAGGCCACAGTGTTGCCAAGAGGAACCATGAGCAGATGAGTTAACCTTTTCAAATTTATTTCACTACTCCCCTTTTTTTTCCCCTGAAGCACATTTCCTCAGATCCTTTCATATAGCATTTGAGTCACCAATGTAGGAAATGGTGAGCTAGTCTAAAAGCCTCTTAAGGTCAAGGGCCTTACCTAAAGAAGCCCCTGGAATGGTAGGTGGTAGACACAGTAAGGAGAGGAAGAATCGTCACCTGGATCAGGAGGTGAAGTAGTAAGGATGGGTGTGCATGCAGGTGACACTAAAGGTGAGGAGAGGAGCTAAAATTCAGTTGAGTGGCATCCATCCCAGCACGTGAGCCGGGGACAGGGCACGTGGGTGGTGTCGAGCTTCTGCCGTAGTTCATCTGCCTGACTTTTCATAAAGGTGTTGGACGTGAATTGGACGTGAATTCTGTCATGATGAATATCAAAACACAGCCCCTGGGGTCTGTGCTCAACTACAGCAAAAGGTACTTATGCAAACTCGTCTTTTAAGTCTTTTCACACTATTTCTGTATTCCAGTTGATGCTCTCTGAGTGGCTAATTGACGTGCCTTCAGACTTGGGCCAAGAATGGATTGTGGTCGTGTGCCCTGTTGGGAAAAGAGCCCTGATCGTGGCCTCCAGGGTGAGTAATTGCCTGCTGCCCCTCGCCCACATATCTGGTCTGTAGGGGGAGGGCCCCTTGCATTCCACAGTCCTTACCTGCCACTCATCTGTGCCTGGCATGGGGACTGAGATGCATTTCTGCAGGAGGGGCTGGCGGAGGGCCATCTTTGGGCTGATGACTCCCCTGCAGATGGTAGAGCTAGAGGGCTGGAGGCCTTGATGCCCCGTGGGAGCTGTCACTTTTTCCCCACAGGGTTCTACCAGTGCCTACACCAAGAGTGGCTACTGTGTCAATAGGTTTTCTTCCCTCCTGCCCGGAGGCAACAGGCGAAACTCAACTACAGCGAAAGGTATTTACACAAAATTGTCTTTTGAGTCTTTTAGTCAGTAAACAACAGTGTAAATTGCTTGGTTAGTTGTTTCCAAGTTCTACTTTGAACATTTATCTTTGTTTGTTTTTATATTTATTTATTTGTTTATGCATAGAAGAACACGGGTGTAAGCCAGAGGTGCGGGGGTGGGGAGGGATTCACCAAAGACAGTGGGGAGTGGAACAGGGGGACTAACTGAAATACATTGCTAAGGGGAGCAGTGGGCAAGAAAGAAGAGGTCTGCTCTATCATGTATGGATTAGCTTGCTGGGTGGGTGAACTGAGGCCGTTGTGGTGACAATGCTAAGACATAATCCCTAGGTCGCCTGGGAGGCCCCTCAATGCATATCCTTGAGTCAGCAAAGACATAGCCTGCCCACTGCACTTGGGCCCTCTCCTTCAAAGTGAGGCCTTCTCAGTCACAGAATAGATGCCACGCCATGAGGGCTACTGGGTGATAAGACCCCTAAATTAAGGTCAGCACTACTAGGTGACAGGTGCATCTTTGGGGAGCATGTCCCTCCGGAGGTAGTATACTGTTACAGGGACTTCCCTCCCAAATCCCTTAATTCCTTTTGACTAACTTTCTTGCCACTCCTACCCCACCCAGACCTAGCCTGAAGAGATGAAGATCCTGGGGGTTAAGTAACCTGCCATGGTCCTTAATGAGGAAGTTGCCCATGCCCTCTAATGCACCCTTCCCTGCTATGCAGGCTCCCTCGGTAGTTCCTCAGCCCACTCACTGCACCAGGACTTTTCTGTTGGCTTTCAGAGGCCTTCACTGGTGGGCTTCGGCCCACTCATCCATGTCTTTTCCCTGCAACCCTGCCTGACCTTCACTTTGCTCAACTGGCTTGCCTCATTGCCCTGAGAGGCGTCAGTTTGCTTTCCCTTTGGGCCTTTGCACATGCCACGTAAAGCCCTGACCTGAGATGCCCTCCTCTGCCTCTGTTTGAATCCTCTGACCCCAGAACACTGTTCATATCCCATCTCTTCCATGAAGCTTTCTGCTGCTCCAATCTCCACTTTCTCTTAGTTTGTGCTGTCTCACTCAGCTGTTGGTTCTGGCCTCGGTGATGATCTTACCCCCTTTACTGGACTGAAACTTCCTTAAAGGCAGGGGCTTCTGTAATAAGTATTGTCTATAGAGCACACTGTCTGTGTTAGGAACGCTAAAAAGGTCTACCATTTCTTCAACTTCATATCTTATAATACTTTTGAAGAAGAAAGTGACAATCCCCGCCAATGCTGAATGAAGTGATATTATCCAAGGACCTGATTTCATTGTGTCCTCTGTTTAAAGCGTCCATTTGCAACAACCTGTTGACAATATTAATGAGGACTGTTTTACTGTAGTTGTAAGTGAAAATGGAAGATTTCCCAACTTGAATTTCAGACTTCCCACTTGGTTTAGGGTTGCCTGGATCCTCTTGTGCTGGACTACCTCAGGTTGCCCTAAGCTGCACCAGGTAACCAGAAAGGGCCATGGGGAACCTTTCCCTAGTGAGTCTTGTTCCTTAGTATTGATGCTTGCTGAGCATGAGGAGTGATGGATTTCGTTCCCAAGCCCCTAAGAGAGGGCTCCCTAGATTATGGTGGAGGGACCCCTGCTTGAGGCAGCTCTGTGCTGATTCTCTGCATTGTGCCCGCAGACTACACCATTCTGGACTGCATCTACAGTGAGGTAAACCAGACTTACTATGTGCTGGATGTGATGTGCTGGCGGGGACACCCTTTTTATGATTGCCAGGTAAGGATCAACACTCCCTCACATTTTATCTTCTCAGCTTTTCACTTCTCCTCCCGGGAAGGTGGCTCAGCATGTGGGTTTGGTATGTGACCACTTCTTGGTATGCACAGGATGTGGTAGATCAAGAAAATTATCTAATGTTCCTTGCATCTTTGAGTGTGTTTAAATTAGCTTCCTTTTAAGAAAGAAGTAGGAAATTAAGGGAAGGTTTGTGGAGAAGGAAAGAGAAACAGAGCAGAGGGGTAGGCTTGACTGTGTGGAAGCTGGACCCGCCCTTTCCCTCTCCACAGTGCAGACAGTTGCTGACAGGGAAGGTTGTAGGCCAGGGCCACTTTGTGCAGGTGGCACAAGGAAGAGAAGTAGGAATGCAGGGCACCCCAAAATAGACTCCTGTCACCACCACTTGGTCCCAACCACATCCTGACCCTGAGAACGGCAGGGCTTTGTTGGTACGAGACTGAGGCCTCCTGTCACGAGGCGCTGGCTCTGAAAGGAGGTTCTCCCAGCAAGGCGAGGATTCAGTACCCCCCTCAGCATTGGCCTTCCCTGGTGATCTCAGTGCAGTGGCAGTCATCAAGGTAGACTTGGTAGCCCCACAGGCTCAGTCCTGTTTCTGTGCCTCCCCACCAATGTCAGTTTTAAAGGGTTGGTTTTTTGTCTCCCTGTCAGAGTATATAGCGGTGGTTCTCAGTGTGTAGCCTCAGAAAGTTGTCAAAGCCCTGCCATTCTCAGTTCTCTGTCAGATATTCAGACCTACTGAATTTGAAACTATGCGGATGGAACTTAGGTTTTAACAAGCCTCCAGGGGTTCTTCATACAGACCCAAATATGAGAATCAAAGTGCTCACTGCAGGCTGCTGCTTTTCATAGCCATTAGCTCAGTAGGTTTCCACGTCTGCTAGGTTAGAATACTTCAGGATTCTAACATGCACCTAATAACAACAATAATAGACAGGACTTGCATAGCAAGCAGTCTGTGAGTACTGTTGTCATTGAATCCTGACAACAAATCTGTAAGGAGTTAGCACTAATCTTCCTGATCACGTGGCTATGGAAGGCAAGAGCCATTCATGTTAAGTACCTTGCCCATGTGCAAAGCCAAGCCTAAAACTCAGAACTTGTAAATTCAATTCAGAACATTTATTCTTTTAATTTTGTTGAATGAGTTTATGACATGTATTCACAACCTACAATTTTGGTAACTAAAGCTGCTTACATTTTTCTAATTTAAAGAAAAGACTGTTTTTGTTTTTAAGGATTGATTTATTTATGCATAAAGATGCTGGGGTGCAGAAGGGTGAGAGGATTTACCAGAGACAGAGTGGGGAGCAGAACAGGCAGATTTACTGAAATACATCATTGAGGGGAGCAGCAGGTGAGACAAGAGAGGTCTGCTGCATCATGTGGGTCAGCTCCCTGGCCGGGGATCAAACTCATGCTGCAGTGGCTGCGGATAGCTTCCTAATGCTATGACTTAACCTCTTGTGCCACCAGGAAGGCCTTTTTATTTTTTGTTTTTAATTTCCAAATGCAAAATAATTAAGAAGAAAGAAAGGGCCCTCCGGCATGTCAGTAGTTCAGAGAATAAAGTAGTTTATGAAAAATTACAATGACATACTAGTATCTGAGCCCCGGGATTAAAGTAAAACAAAAGTTAATATAATATTCTTAGGAGTTGGAAAGTCTTGGGTTCGACAGTATTTTGTCTATATACTTGGGCAAGTGACAAAAGCACTCTGAGCCTCAGAGTCCTCATCTAAGAATGGAAATTATGAGGCCTCCCTGATGGTGCAGGGTTTAAAGACATAGCACTATCAAACTGTACACATCCACTGTAGTACTAGTTTGATCCCCAGGAGGTGACCCACATGGCACAGCAGACCTCTCCTGACTCCCACTGATCTCCTCAGCAGGTATTTCAGTCAATCTGCCTGATCTGCTCCCCACTCTGTCTCTGGTGAATCCTCTCACTCCACCACCACACCTCTGGCCTATATCCCAGTTCTTGTATGCATAAATAAATCTTTTTTTATTATTTTTTACATCAGTCTTCTTTTTTATATAATATATGCTTTTAAAAAAATATGTATTTATTCATACAGAACTGGGGTACAAACCAGAGGTTCAGGGGTGGTGAGAGGATTCACCAGAGATAGTGGGGAGCAGAACAGGCAGATTGATGAAGTGCACTGCTGAGGGGCACAATGGGCAAGTCACGTGGGTCTGCCATGCCATGTGGGTCACCTCCAGTGCCGGGGATCAAACTCACACTGAAGTGGCTGCAGCTTGCTTGCAGTGCAACGTCCTAACCTGTTGCACTACCAGGGAGGGCCCCAATATATGCTTTATCATCTTGGGTATAGTCCCCCAAAATTCCCACCACCAATTCACCCATGCACCATCACCATTCCCCTATGCTTTTCCTACCCTTGTTTTGATCCAACTTCCTTCTTCCCCACTGCAGAATGTTTCCAGTTTATAGTTGCCTGTCGCTTTTGATTTTTACTTCATTATAATCACTTTTTCCCCCCGATCCCTTACTTGGGTCCCCTACATTCCTCCTAAAAGTGAAACTACCCAGTATTTTTCTATTTCTTTCTGGCTTTAATTAAATAATTTTTTTTTTCCTAAGTGGAGATAATAATAACACAGCTCTCAGAAGATGCTTGAGGGTTAGAAAATGGTATGTATAGAAGTCTTAGCATGGAGCCTAACATGTAGTAGGCCTTTGCTGATAAATGTTGCTTAGTAGTCCCATTTGATTTTAAGGAAAACTTTTCAAACATTTTATAAACCATGTTTTATTATTTTTTTAAATATTTACTTAGGCATACAAAAACTGGGGTACAGGCCAGAGGTAAGGGGATTCACCAGAAACAGAGTGGAGAACATAACAAGCAGATACACTGAAATATACTGTTAAGGGAAGCAGCGGGCGAGACAGGAGAGGTCTGCTGGGCCATGTGGGTCAGCCCGTGGCCAGAAATAGGCCAGGAGTGGGTGGCTGGACAGCCTCATAGTGCTGCGCTTTCGCCCTTTGCGCCACCAGGGAGGCTCCTATAAACAGTGTTTTAGGGAAGCGAGGGAATGCTAGCCAGATTTAGGTCTTTATGGCTCTGATGTCTGTTTAGAAAGCTGTGTTTTGTTCATATAGCTTGAGATGAGCAGCTTCATCTTTCTCTTATCTCTGTGGCAGACTGATTTCCGATTCTACTGGATGCATTCAAAGTTACCAGAAGAAGAAGGACTGGGAGAGAAAACCAAGCTCAATCCGGTGAGGCCTGGTGTTGGGATCACAGGCTTGTTTTTGCGAGTTGGTTTAGATTGGTCTGTTATCTACATGTCATCACATGAATGACCTTCTCTTATTGAGGCAGCATAATGTAATGGGAAAAGAATGGACTTTCCAGTCATCAGCTCTGAATTCCAGTTTAGGCTTTAACAATCGCCAGGTTGATAACCTCAGATGGCCTTAGTTCATTCAGCTGAGTATTAGGACTAACAACACTCACTTTACAGCCTTGTTCTAAGAACTAGAAGACATATAAATCTGAAAGTCTCCTTAGCATAATACTTAAGGCAGGCACTCAGTAAATACTGGTTGATACAAAATGCTAGTAACTGCTTTTATTAATGTTTATTCAGAATTCTAGTGCAGCAGTTCTCAAGCTGTAGCATGCACACGCAGCCCCTGGAGGCTTGGTAAACAGACTCTTGGGCTTCTTCCCCAGAGTTTCTGACTCAGTGGGTCTAGGGTGAAACCCAAGAATTTGACTGCCTTTTTTTTTTTTAAAGATTTATTTTTATTTATTTATGCATACAAGAACTGGGATGCAGCCCAGAGGTACAGGCGGGGGTGGGGGGTGACAAGTAAGAGGATTCACCAGAGACAGAGCAGGGAGCAAAACAGGCAAATCTATTGAAATCCACTGCTGAGGGGAGCAGAGGGCAGAGTGGGCAGGCAGGAGAGTTCTGCCACACAATGAGGGTCACCTCCCTGACCTCCCTGGCCGGGGATGGAACTGGCGCTGCAGTGGCTGCTGATAGCTTGATAATGCTAGACTTAACCCCTGTGCCACCAGGGAGGCCCCCAGAATTTGCATTTCTAACAGTTCCCTGACACCTTGAGAACCTGTGCTGCCCTGACAGCTGTATCTCATCTTACACTTTACAGCTCAGAGCAGGCTGCCTTCCCAGGATCTCACAGTCCAGCATGGCAGCCCAAGTCTCTTGGCAATCTGCTCAATGACTTAATTATCTGACATCTATTTTCAGAACATTTTACTAACCCTATAGAGTGATTTGTGCTTGGGTTGGCTTACCTATGTTTTATAACGTAGTAGGGTAACAGTTGCAGGACAATAAATGGGGTCAGTCCTGGCAATGTTCTTGGGCACTGAGGAAAGGCACACGGGAATGGCTCTCTCTGAGATGCTGTTCCTGTGCTCGGCACGAAATCTGACTGTAGAGTTTGTCATCCTGATGACTCTATTATACTGCTTCACTCTAAATTTCTTGCTGGACCGAAAGGGCTCTTGTCTGACCTTGTCATTGTGGCAGCCATGTCGTAGGGCTGGGGGAGTGATAGACCTAAACCTATCACAGGACAGTGATGCTCAGTCCTGACTGCATCTCACATCAACTGGAGATCTTCCCAAAAAATGCGTGGCCCCAGCCTAAGCCAGTTCAGTCAGAATCTTGGGGTGGGACCTGGGCATCAGCAAATTTTAAGAGTTCTCAAGATGATCCTCTTGTATAAAGTAAGGCCGAGAACCACTCACCTAGTACTTCACAGGGCAGGTGGAAAGGAGACAGAGGGACAGATGAGCCCAAAAGCTTTTCTTCTTTGATACTGCTTTGAATTAGTGGAGCCTATGTTATTTGTAATGTGCTAATTCTGTTCTAATTTTCCCTTTTAGTTTAAATTTGTTGGCCTGAAGAATTTCCCTTGTACCCCTGAGAGCCTGTGTCAGGTGCTGTCTATGGAGTTCCCTTTTGAGGTAATACAACCTTGTCTTGATGGCTCCCGTGTCATTACAGGACACAGGGAATCTTTAGTACAAGACTTTTAAGATGTCCTTTGGCTTTGCTGTGAGCAAGCATTAGCATAGGGCTGACAGCTGACTCTAGGAGAGGTTGTGCTTGCTGCCCTCAGCTTGTTGGCTGAGTCAGAGCACCCTCGTTGGAAGAGCAGTTCATCTCACTTTACAGACGGAGAAACCGAGGCCCACAGAGCGGCAGCCCTCCCATTCCTGCGTCAGTCCTAAGTGCCTGTTTCTGCTGCAAGCTTGAGACATAGGCCTGGGATTTGATGGTCACCACTGCTTGTAAAGCAAAGGGGCTTCTAAAACTGACAGGCTCAGGGGTGTGAGTTCCTAATCCCTCCTTCCTCCAAAGAGCAGTGATCCCTGGAGGGTGGTGCTGGCTGAGAGGGGGTGCAGGAGCAAGCTGGCTGCCTCTCTTTGTGTGTAGTGCTGGAAGACTCACATTCCAACCCTGTGTGGTCCTTTTCATCCTCAGCACCCTCAGGCCCCTCCTCCCAGAGTAGCAGATGAGCTTGCCTCCTTGCCCTGCGTAATCCTTTTACTCCCTAGTCACCCCCCAAGTATCAGCTTGAGCCGAGTATAATTTTGCTAAAAGGATCACAACTTCCCGAACGAGGAAGTGGCAAAAGCTGAGTTGTCTTCATTTCTGGGAGTCAATTAAGAAGGTGGTAAGAACACCATCTTTATTTATAACCCTGATGCCCCAGTGACAATAAAGGCTTTTTAGAGATGAGTCATGGAAAGGAAAATGTGGGACTCTAGGAGTTCTTCCCGTTGAGAAAAACTGAGTTTCCCAGAACATAGCTTGTGAACAGTTTAGGAGGAGGTCTAGCAGCCAGCAGTGGCTTGGGGAGCAGGACTTCCTGACAGCCTGTTTTCCCCTGGCTCAGCAGTCCGGCCTGTGGGCAGACCTGTCCACTTCTCTGGCCTTGTTCCCCCCGTGCAGCACAGCCCCAGTGCAGAGACCTCAGGGTGGAGACAGCACATGGGGACATTTCTGCTTTATGCTAACTCTTTTTAGGGAGGCCTCTAGAGCTTCTTGAGCCCGAGCTCTCAAAACAACTTCATGGTTGAGTAAGAAGGTAAAGCAGTGATAGAAAAATAACCAGTAAACAGGAAACTGAATTTGTTTTTATTTTCTAAAATTTAGTTTTCTAGGCCCCTACTTCATTTAGAGAAGTTGCACACATACAAAACAAAGACTCCTTACCTTTGACAGAGACCCAGAAAGAGAAGTTGGATCCCAGAGCTGCCCTGTGTATATAGTGTCTGGAAACCAGTGACCCCAGAGTCACTGACCCTCTCATTCCTTTGGCAGGTGGATGGACTGCTCTTCTACCACAAGCAGACCCACTACAGCCCTGGGAGCACTCCTCTGGTGGGCTGGCTGCGCCCCTACATGGTGTCAGATGTTCTTGGTGTGGCTGTGCCCACTGGCCCACTGACCACTAAGCCAGAATATGCTGGGCACCAGCTGCAGCAGATTATTGAGCACAAGAGGAGCCAGAAGGAGGGCGTGAAGGAGAAACTCACAGCCAAGGCCTCTGAGAATGGACACTACGAGTTGGAGCACCTGTCCACCCCCAAACTGAAGAGCCCTCCCCAGAACCCCGACCACCCTGGAAGCCTCATGGAGAACTAAAGAAGGCTACCTCCTTCGGGAGCTGCAGGACCCTGCTTGACCCTGGAAGGAGGCTCGGGAGGAGGATCGTGCTAACAGCAGATGACTTCATTTTAGAGTGGACTTTCCAAAGCTGCTGCAGCTGGAGACAGCTTATCTCCTGTGTGAAAGGCTGGCTCAGACGGTGGGGGAGGTGCCCAGATTAGGTGGTATTCAGATTTGGGCAGCCACTGCTCAAAAGTATATCCCAGACCCACCATGTAAATACATGTCATTCTTAAGAAAGAAGTTATTTGTGATTCTTAAACTGCAGAATCTTGAATCTCTCCCTTCCCCCACTCCGTGGCCACCCAAATCAGGACTGTTAGGTCTTGGCCCATTTCACTGTTTTTAGCACTTAAGCATGCTGAGTTTCCAGTTGCTGCTGTTGGTAACGTCATTTTCTAAAAGGTTTTACCAGGAACTGCAATTCTTGGTATTTGAATATGTTCCCTCTTCTGAGAAGACAAGTGTGATTTTCTCTGGTTTAGACACTGCGAGAGATAAAATGCAAATGGGGTTCATTCACTACTTCCACAAACTTTGAGTGCCTTCCGGGGGGGTATGGTTATGTCTTTATGGCTGCTGTGATGTAGACTGGGCTGCACAGATGGACAGGACTCAGTCCTTGCCCTGCTCACTGTCTAGTGAGAAATAAACCCAGAGCATAAGAGTGTCAAGATGCTGAGATGATGGCTTCAGAGCAGGGGCCCGCAGCCCTGGCAGCCAGGCTGGCAGAGAGAGGTTCCACTGAGAGCAGAGCCCAGTTGCCGTAGCAGAAGGACAGGAGCACGCTCTGTGGACCAGGAGGGGGGTGTGTGCCAGTGGGAGGGCTTGCAGTGCTCCCCCGTCAGAGCAGGGCAGGATTCGCCTGGCCCAGGCAACAAGTAAGACTGGAGAACTACAGGAGGGGAAGCTGGACTTGGCCTGATGATGGGGGGCCTGTGTGCTAAGCAGAGGGTTTAGATTTTATGTCATGGGTGAAAAGGAGCCAGTCTTCGGCACCAGTGAGAGCAGGAGATGGTGCCTAAAATTGACAGTTTGTTTCTGCTCTCTGTTCAGGAAATGTGTCCATTTCCTCTGGCCGCTCCCTGTTTTCCACACTTCCACCTTTCCAGTTCTTGTCTTGTTAGACAAAAGAACTTCACAGTTTCACTGCTGGGGTACTAGTGTCCTGTGGACAGAATTGCAGAGGGATCCAAGTCAGATCTTGTCTGACACGCAACTGTTCCTTTGTGTTGATTGTTCTGGGAACAGATCCGGGCAGAAGTTGTGGTTAAGTGGAGCCTGATTACACAAATTCAGCACTTCAGTGGGGCTAGCCTCAGTGTTCTGCTCTCAGAGAGCCGCTCCTCTCAAGCTGACTCTGTAAAATCAGAGAAGGGAGAAACCTCCCGCCCCCAGGCCCCACGTCGACCCTGCTGGCAGCAGATGTAAGGTGCACACCTCAGTAAGCTTGCTCCTGAATTTAGGTCAGCTCTGCAATAGGAACATCATGCTTTTTTTGGTTATAGAACATGTTGTAGGCTGCCTAGAAGGCTAGTTTTACTTGATGATCTTTTGAATGCTCTAGTCTGTGTTGTCAGCAGACAGCATTTCAGGAGCTTGGCACGCTAATAACAGGAGAGAACTGGCACAGCACCGCCCAGGAATGATCAGGTCTGAAAGGTCTATTTCCCCAAAGGACACTCTGGAGACAGATGCATGCATCAAAGAACATATTAGCCAGACTTAACACTACATATAATTTGGTGCAGTTAAATGTAGCTGGAAAGACGTGTCTCAGAGGAAGTCTCCTGATAATTTTAAGCCAGGGGCCAGTGTTCTAGATCACTGAACAGATTGTGTCTCCTGGTCATATTTCTTGAATTATAAAATCACCTCCTGCCATTTGTTTGGAAGATGGTGTGTTATAGATAGCTGTGACTGCTTGCTAGTGTTCTTACCACCCTTCTGAATAGCTCCCCGTTTCTTTTTTTTTTTCTTGTGGAATTACCTTTTCTCCATGCAATATGATCTGTTGGGACTGTAATCCAGGGGGAAACGCCCTCCCTTAACCAAATGTCAGGCCTATGACTCAAGATGTGCCAATTACATATTCCTCACCAAGAAGAATTAGTGTCTAGAGCATAGGAACAAAAGAGTGCATCAGTTGGAATTTATTTATTTTGCATATGAAGGTGTTTTTCTGCCCTATCTTGAAACCCATGACTACCCAGTCTATCTCAGCTTGCTTAAGGTAGCCAAAACTGAGTTACTGGTCTCAGAACCAGACTCCTGAATAATACCCCCATGCGGCCTGCTTGCCTTGACTAGAGGGGCCAGTTTGGCATAAATTAGCAAAGAACTATTAGTTGAAATCACCTCTTTTAACTCAAGTGACACTGCAACTCAGTCACCAAGGAAAAAAACAGACTTTTTAACTAGTAAGTATAAAATAAGTAGTCTTGCCAATTTTTTTTTTGTAAGATTTATTTATGCATACAGATCTGGAATACAGGCCAGAGGTGCAGGGGATGAGAAGATTCACCAGAGACAGAGTGGGGAGCAGAACAGGCAGATCGATGAAGTACACTGCTGAGGGAAGCAGTGGGCGGGTCAGGAGAGGTCTGCCACGCCATGTGGATCACATGGTTCACCATGTCCATTCAACCCCACCTTTGTTCTGTTCACTCAATGAACTAAGTCCTTCATTCAAGGCTTAATTTTTTGTCTCTGGCAGTACTGCCAGGCTTTGAGCTATTTTCCCCATCACCAATCTTTCTCCCATTCTAATTTTTTTTTTTTTAAGATTTGTTTATTTATGTACACAAGAAATGGGGTACAGGCCAGAGGTGTCAGGGGAAGGGGTGTTTAGATGATTCACCAGAGACAAAGTAGGGAGCAGAACAGGTAGATCCACTGAAATACACTGCTGAGGGGAGCAGTGGGTGGGTCAGGAGAGGTCTGCCACACCATGTGGATCAGCTCCTGGCAGGGATCAAACTCACGCTGCAGTGGCTGTGAATAGCTTCATAGTGCTGTGCTTTAGCCCACCTGCCCAGAAGGCCCTTCCTTTCTAATTTATCTCTATCATAACAAGTGGCAGAATGATCCTTTCTAAAAATCTGAATTTGGGCCTCCCTGGTGGCCTAGGAGCTAAGTCTCAACCCTATCACTGGTACAGCCTGAGTTTGATCCCCAGTCAGGAAGGTGACCCACATGGCACAGCAGGCTTCTTCGATCTCATCCACTGTTCCCCTCAGCAGTGTGTTTCAGTAGATTGGCCTGTTCTGCTCCCCACTTTTCTTTGGTGAATCATTCCACCACCAACATCTCTGACCTGCACCCCAGTTCTATGCATAAATAAATCAACCTTTTAAAAAAAATCTAAATTTGATCATGTTACTTGCAAGACTGTCTATGATTACCATCTTTCTAGCAATGCTGCTTTGCAGGCCCCTGAATAAAGGTATGTTTCATATTACCACTCTCTGCCCCCCTTAACCTTCCCACCTCAATCTAATTTCACTCGTCTAGTGAACAAACCTACTCATCTTTGTACAGTCCATTCAGCAAAAACCCGTAGGAACTTTTATTTCTTCTCTGGTCAAATTAGCCATTCTCATCTTTGGGGCTTCTGTGCCACTAATACCTATTTCCCCAAGTTAGGGGTAGTCTACGCTTTGGTTAGCTAATCACCAGAAGAATTCAACTCATGGAAGGCTGTTACGGTTGTAATTATAGTTCAGCATAATGAAAAGGAAACAGGTTAAAGGCAGTGAAAGAAATAGATTCATAGCCACAGTCCTGGAAGTGCCAAACGTGCCTCTTCCCTTTGTCCCCTCCTAGTAGAGTCACTGACATTAACTTTCTGTTAACAGTGGGTGACAATACTCATAGATACTAGCCAACCAGAAAATCACACGGAGCCTTGGTGTCCAGGTTTTATCTGGGCTTGGTCACACAGATTGGTTGGCTCATCTGGATTTCCAGCCCTTCCAGAGGTCTCCTTGATAACATGTGGTTAAAGCACCGCATTCCGTCCCTGCTCAATCACTTTGTGAGACTATCTGGTATAGCCAAAGACCCCCAGATAAGCAGAATTTGGAAGTTCTTCACAGGATTCAAAAGTCAGCCTGTCTCGAGCCTTTATTATACATCACCTCTATTAGATTGCAAACTCTTGGAACATGGTCTTATTTTACTTTAGAGCACCAAGTCTGAAACTTGCATTGAAAAATGTTGTTTGAGGCCCTCCCTGGGGGCACAAGGGGTTAAAGCTCAGCACTATGAAGCTATCCACAGCCACAGCAGCATGAATTTAATCCCTTGCAAGGGAGGTGATCCACAACATGCAGCAGACTTCACCTGTCTCGGCCTGCTGCTCCCTCAGCAGTGTATTTCAGTAATCTGCTTGTTCTGCACCCCACTCTGTCTCTGGTGAATCCTCTCACCTCCTTACTCCCGTACCTCTAGCCTGTACCCCAGTTCTTGTTTTGTTTTTTTATTTTATAACAGCTTATTTTTACATCATTTTGTACATTTTTTTTTCCATCTTAATTGTAATCCCCG